GTTAAACAACATGATGCAAGCGTAGTCCTTATAAGCACTATGCCCTTATCAGGGTAGCGCCAAAGACAGCAACATCAGAGGGACCCCAAGCAGCACATGGAAGAGAAGCAGACACCTGCGAACCTCGCTAGTCTTTGTTGGCGAAATTTAAAGGAAAAAAAACTGTACGAAGTTGAGCTTAATCAACCGCAACTTTCAAACAGACGAAAAAGGAAGAAACAACATCAAACACCCTAATTATAACCTTTCAAATACAGGGTGAACAGGGTTAACTCATAGGGAAAAAAGCAGAACTAATGACTATACCACCCCACCCCCACCCCAGGGGGATGTCACTTTTCGTTTTGAAGCCCCACCCTGGCTGTTGCCGGGGGCCCTAATATAACCCAACCTGTGGGTTGAACTCCCCTCAGAGGCCATTACCTTGCAGTGGTGGGACAGCTTGAGTGATCTAGTGAGCTATGCCGGCGAGAATTATGTTCCTGGCAGGATCACCCAAGCCGGACAGGTCATTGATGAGAGGCCAGGCTTGGAGGTTGGGAGCAGTGTTGACAGCTCTGCCCTGTAAAAAATCTACATCGTTACTGAAACTTCAAGAGGAAATAAGTGCTCTAAACGTCCAGTGGTCTTGGGACAGAGTCCCTCTGTCAGCATGAACAACATGGGTGAAAGCCGAAAGGAAGCCCATTATAGAAAAATAAGTCTACTAGACGTCAAAACTAAATTGGCTTCTGGAATGTAAGAACCATGTTTGAAACGACCAAAACTACCCAAGTAATTAAAGAAATGCAGAACTATAAACTGCATATTCTTGGAATCAGTGAAAGCAGGTGGACAGGGTTTGGACAATCCACAACAGGTACAGGAGAAACCATAATATATTCTGGAAGAGATGATAACCTACATTCTGCAGGCGTGGCACTCATTTTAAAGAAAGGTATACACAAACATCTCATAGTGGCATCTAATTAATGAAAGAATAATGACAGCACGATTCAATGGGGAAACATGCCAAACTCACAGTCATCCAATGACTGCAAGAGGTACCGACCATGAATGAAGCATTATGGGAGAAGATGAAGAAACAACTTGAAGACACATCAATTTAGGAGACAATTAATGACAACGAGGAAAGAGTAGCGATACACAGCGAATAGACTTGTTATAGGTTGAACACTGTTCCCTCACAAGAATATACACAAGCTTACATGGATATCCCCAAATGGAAGAGATGCAAACCAGATCGACCATTTCAAGGTAAACAGTAAATGGCATGGGTCCCTACTCGATGTGCGTGTCAAGAGGGAAGCAGATGCGGGTAGCGATCATCACCTTGTAGTTGCACTACTACGACTTAAATTGTTTAAAAAGTTCACACACACAGCTAAGACACAGACAGCACGCTACAATGTCAACCTTTTAAGAGAAAAAGACACTGCCACCAAATTTGTAGTAAAACTCAAGAATAAATTTCAAACTCTATCAGGTGACCCAGACACCCAAACTACAATCAGCATTCAAGACAGAGGAAACCGGATCACAGAAACATACAAAACAATCAACAACAACATATTAGGAACCACGAAACGCCACCACAAAGAATGAATAAGCTGTCAAACCATGTACTATATTACCAAGCGAAAAAGAAAAAAGAGCCTCATAAATCACACTAAATCAGAACGTCAGAAAGACAAATTGATGTTAGAATATAGCGAACTAAATAAAATGGTTTTAAAAAAAAATACCAGAGCTAACAAGAGAAGATTTATGGAAAATCTTGCAGAAACAGCAGAAAATGCTGCTAAAACACATAATCTACAAACCCTACACAAAAATGTCCAACAAGTTTGCGGAAACAGAAACAATTACCACAGCATGCCCATCAGAGATAACCAAGGCAGATTCCTTGCCACGAAAGACAAACAAAACGTGCAGTGGACTAAACACTTCTCTAAACTCTTGAATAGACCTGATCCTGAACATCCCCCAGATATTCAGCCAGCCTCTCAGGATATTGACATTATTATTAAACCACCAAGCAAACAAGAAATCCCTAAAGCTATCCACACTTCCAAGAACCAACAAAGTACCAGGCAGAGACGAACTGCCAGCAGAACTTCTCAAAGTAGATCCCAACACAACTGCTAGCATTCTAGAACCATTGTTCAAGGATATTTGGAAAAAATAAGTGTTGCCTGATGACAGACTGAAGGAACAAAAGTCAAAATCCCACCCCCTCCCCCCACCCCACCCTAAAGGAGATTTAACAGACTTGAATAATTGGAGAAGAATTACTCTACTCTCAGTACCAAATAAAATATTTTGTAAAATCATCATTATACGACTGGAAAAGGGAGTCGATAAATGCTTACGAGTGAAACAAACAGGATTCACAAAGGGCAGAGGAACAACTTAGCATATCTTTACTCTTCGTAACAATTTAGAACAATGCAATGAATGGCAGAGAAGTATATATATATTAATTTTGTGGACTTTGAGAAAGCTTTTGACAGCGTCCATAGAGACAGTCTCTGGAAAATTTTACGACAATATGAAATTCCAGAAAAGATAGTCAACATAATTGCTCTCTTCTATAAAGACTTTTCCTGCAGTATAAAAAATTACATCTTTCCCAGTAAAGACAGGTGGAAGACAGGGATGTGTTATGCCATCCCTCCTCTTCAACCTTGTGATTGATTGGATACTAAAGAACACAGTAGACAAGATATCAAGAGGCATACGATGGACTCCTTTCACCATGCTTTAGGACCTTGATTTTGCAGATGATATAGCACTCCTATCACAGAAACACGAACATATACAAGATTAAAGTAACAGACATACACCGCACAGCAGAAATGGTGGGACAGAATAAATACAAGGAAAACTAAGATCATGACAAACAGTCCAAACCTACAACCAGTGACCATAAATGACCAAACACTATAAAATGTAGAACTTTTCACATATCTTGGAAGTGTGGTGTCCCTACTGGGAGGGACAGAGGAAGACAAACACTCACGCCTGAACAAAGCTAGAGCTGCTTTTGGAAGGACGAGGCAAATCAGGAAATCCAACAGTTACTGCAGAGAAACGAAAGAGCATTATTTTACCAGTTCTTTTTTTATGGAGCAGAATGCTGGAGAATGACAAAAATACACACAAGCTATCCACCTTCCACCACACATGTCTTCGTAAAATTATCAAATTTCTGGCCAGATATAATCTTAAACACTAAACTACTTCAAGTCACAAACCAAGAAACTCTAGACAGTATGATAATCAAGAGAAGATGGAAATGGCTTGGCCACGTTATGAGAATGAATCCTGATATACCCGCCAAAACAGCTCTCACATGGACACCAGAGGGCAAGAGAAAGAAGGGGCGCCCAAAAACAACATGGAGACGAGTGATGGAGAGTGACTTGAATGCGGCTTCTCTGACATGGGATGAAGCCTCATGTGCCACTAGGCGAAAAGAGTATTGATGATGATGATGATGACTGATGTGGGTTGAACGGGGTTTCTGGAATCTGTCACCAGCTGATCTACATCCAACTGGTGGCACTTTGTGTCACTAGTGTTTATCGCTGGCTGTGATATCCTGGTGGGGTTGATCGCCAGTCAGTCACACATTTAAAAAATAAACATTACCCACACACACACAAATAAAACACACATAAAACACACACACACTCACACACACACACACACACACACACACACAAACAAAAGTTGTGAGACCTGAAACTGCAGCTTACTGTAGCTTATACCTAAACCCAGCACTGAGCTTCATACAGGCCTGTGTAGACACGAGCTAACCGCGCAACCAGACGGGCAGCAGTCGGTGAGATATCCGTTATTGTTTCTAGCCAGACTTGCGACCCAAGGCACAGCAGGGCTGCCCAAGTTGGTACTTGCGTACAAAAGGGGCCAAGAAAAACTACTTTTGGTACCACCCCGATGTTCTGTTACTTTTTACAAAATTGGTATCAATATTTTAATATTGGCTTTGCTATAAGTGTTAACGACGGAAGACCAGCGTTAATAATGCCATTGGTCATGCAATTTCCCAGTCTTAAAAAGAACATAATCAACAAATAAATACAAAATAGAGGGAACAAATAGTGCAACAACAGCAAAAAATGTTGGGAAGTAAAGATAATAAAAATAGCTAAGTCAAAGTAGAGAAGTCGCAAAAGAGACGGATAGAGGTCAAAGATAGTGAACTGAAGGATGTAAACCAAGGAGAACATTGACAACACAATACACTTACACCTGCACATTCCTCTTTTAGCGAGTCTTTTACAACACATCGCTCCTGCCACATCACGTCTGAACGATATCCAGCTTCTTGTCTGCTCACAGGACATGACTGGTACAGGAATGTTCACAAGCTTTCTGACCAGCTTAAAGTGATTGATTGACTGGCACCTTTCCGTCTTTCCAGACGATATTCTTATTTTGCGCTTTGAGAAGGCGTGGGACTCATCCTTTCTGCAATCATTTCTTCCGTTATTCTCATTCCCTTCCCAATGTGTCCCCTCCACGCAACACGGTATAAGTCATTGTGTTCCCATGAGTCCACCTCAATACCTGTATCATTCTATCATTCATTGCCCGCTTGCACACATCTTCATATCGTAGTAGAGGTCGCCCTCGATATCTCTTACCCATCTTTAATTTACCACAATGTCCTTAGGGACTCTGCCATCCTCCATTCTTCAGGTGTGACTCAGCCACCTGAGCCTTCCTAGACTGAGCATTGAGAAGACTGTTGAAAATCCTACTCTTTCCAGTACCCCAGTGTTTGTGATCATGTCCTTCCACCAAATGCCAGCTTAAAGTGTGAAATACAATACTTGATGTGATGACGATGATCAGCTAATATTAGTTTTGGTATAGAATATGTTTTTGTAATGATTTACATTATCACCAGGCGACGCTAGTGAACCCCTCGGTCTGCATTCAGAACTACTGACTGAATCACTGTAGCCAACATGGTATACACGAATCCAGGAGTGTCCATTGCTGCAAAGTTCGTGACTCCAGGTCCAGCCTATGCCCTGCCTGGTCTGGTTGGAGAGAAAGGTCATGACCCTCGTAGTGTCCACTACAAATATCCCTCCTATTCTTTTGGAGTCAGACACGGCAGGTACAAGAACACATATGGTCCGGGGCCAAGCTACTACCCGGATCCAAAAGTGAGTAACATCTTTATTGTTTGTTCTATTTCTTTCTTTCTTTCTTTCTTTCTTTCTTTCTTTCTTTCTTTCTTTCTTTCTTTCTTTCTTTCTTTCTTTCTTTCTTTCTTTCTTTCTTTCTTTCTTTCTTTCTTTCTTTCTTTCTTTCTTTCTTCATTTCGTTTGTAACTACGTCGGTAACATCTTGTTCTGTCCCGCTACTGATAAAGAATGATGAATAGGTGAGGTTTTTAATGGATCCGAGATCTCAGATGTACCCAGCGTGTAAGTAGGTTTCTGTCGTTTAGATTCATGTTGTTTATTTGTTTATAAAGACGTTGGTTGAAGTGTTCGGTTGCATTGTGTCGTTTCTTCATATTCGCTACCTTTTTTTATGACCAAGTCGTATGCGTCGGGTTCTGAAATTTATTAGTTTGTTTAACAGAATACGTCGTTTAGTAAAACTTTTCGCCCCATACAATTCTTTAAAAATGAAATTTTCAAAATTTCTTTAAAAAGAAACGCACCTGTATAATTCTCTGTCATCCTACACTAAGACACAAAAATGATAAAATAGAAATCACAAGTAATCTGGCGTAATGGTAAGTTTTTATTTTTTAATAAAAGACCAGAAGGTTGACCTCAGAGCAGACAGACCAGCCTTCTAGCTATTGTGTCACTGTGGCCTCCAAGTCAGACGTAAAAAGGGATTTTTTTTTAATGTTTAACGTTATTATTTCGAACAAAGGTGTGATTTTACACACAAACGATGAGAATACCCTGGACGGAAACAAAGAATAATGAAACTGTCTGAAAAGAAACTGACTGGGAAGAGAACCGATTGCCCACATCAGAAAGAGACAATCTACATTCGTTAGTAATGTGATAAGGAGAAAACTTGAGTACATCGTGACAGTAGGAAACTCAGAGGAGAGGAGAGGCAGAGGGAGACCGAGAGAAAAGATGCTGAATAGTGTCACATCTCAGCATAGAGTATCATCTGTATCAGAGTTGATTGAAAGTACACGAGACAGAAGGTTGTGGAGAGACATGACTGCCGACGCTACACGGCATGGACTATGGAAGATCATCTGTATCAGAGTTGATTGAAAGTACACGAGACAGAAGGTTGTGGATAGACATGACTGCCATCGCTACACGGCATGGACTGAAAGAACAAGAACAAGATATATAGGAGGTGTACTGGAAACACCCAAAAACGTAAATGCATCAAAAACCGGTCAAATCGGAAAACTGGCTTTCTCAGGCAGGAAGGTTAACTTGTGCAAAATGAACTGAGGTATCTGGTTGTCATCGAAGGATCTGCGGGGCACTGGTTTTCTCTGAATCTATGGGCAGCCGGCCCGTCATTCTGTGAGGCGAGGCCGAGCTAAATGGAATAAAACTCAATGTCAGGAAATCGCTTCTTTCGACATTAAACCTTTCAATTGTGAACATTCTCTTTGATTTTCATCTTTCATTGCGCTTTGTGGTAATTTCGTCAATTATTTCAATGCGTGCTTCTGATAATTAAAGGAACAGACCAATTTACTTATTTGGATAGTAATTTTATTTGTGAATGAAGAACAACAACAACAACAACAACAACAACAACAACAACAACAACAACAAAATGTGACACGCATGAACAAGGCATGGGCAACGTTTGAAAACCTGAACAAAACAAGGAACCCTCACTTGTGTGACACAGTCGTGGTCTTCACATCCCCCAAGTATGGATGTGCCTAATTCGGCCAAGGTGTCCGGATACAGTTCGTAGCTCTCTTGAATGTACTCAAGAACAAGTGGTGTAACAATTACACAGCAGTTTATTTATTAATAATATTATCAAGTCAAACCGAATGAATCATTTCAATAACCAATAGTATAGGAACACTTCATTATCTTATTACTGGCTATTCGTATGTCTTTCTATGAGTTCCTTAATCACTCTCTTAGCTAAACTCCAAGTTTAATATATATCTTCTAAACGAAGTACAACTCTAGTTTTCCCAACTGGTCTCTCAAGCGGTCCAGTCCTAACTGTCCTTCTGCTCCCTCAAACCCCTCGCTCCTTACTGACCTCCCCTCGCTTTCCCTCTCTTTCTCGCGTGCGTTCTCAATCACTCCCCTGTCACCTGTCTTTGGTGGTCACGTTTGGATAAACGTATCTCTTCAACTGGTCACAGTGCATCTGGTTTTATCTGTATCGCTGGTCGGCCAGCTTTCTAATCCCTGTTTTCTGTCATGCCAACGAGTGACGGATAGGCGTGCTTTTCTGCTGATCTGAGATGTATGCTTTGTTCATTTAACCCCTTTCTGCTTATATTTCATTACACTTGTACATTTTTAAAACACAAATTGTATATTTTTAATTCTAAGGTTTATTTAGGTTTTAATATATGCCAGTGAAAGTCGGAGAACCACAAAAAACAAAGATCGAAACTCAAACACTTTTGATAACACCTGCCTGAGGAAAATGATGAACTTATGTTCATGTTATGAATGGAATGAATTCAAGAGGGATCAAGAAATAAGAGACTTATCTAGACGACCACTAGTATCCACAAGACAGAGAAGATGGGGCTGTAGTGGACACACCCTGAGAAGAAACCAGTAGGGAATCACCAAACAGGCACTAAAATGGGAAGTAAAGCTATTAAGAAAGCGAAGACGCCCAATAGGAAACAAACAGTAATGAGAGAGACCATATGTGCTGGACTCAATCCCATCCATGTTATTACATTGATTTCACAGGTTATCGCGGAAAGGGAAAAATACTAGGAACCCTATGGGACATATAATGTCACAATAGTACAATAATTGAATAAATTAATAAATGAATGATTTAACAGGATAAAGCGAAATGGGGAAAAGACTAGTGGCCCTGTGAGACATTTAATGTCACAATAGTACAGTCAATGATTAAATGAATGACTGAATGAAATGTATCTGGCACAACAAAAGCTGAGACCACATTCTACCCTCAGGTGTACCGTGATGGCTATGACGGAGTCCCACAGTATTCTCTCTACTCGCGACCAAAAGATATCAGAGTGTTCGCCACTCCTGGTCCCGGAGCCTACTGCATTGAACCAGCTGCCTCGGTCGTTCGTCGTTCCAGCCCCGCCTACAGTTTTGGCAGCAGACACAGCCATCGCCGAACAGATAAAATCCCAGGTATACCATTTCATTTTAAACATTATTACTAAAGAAATAGGGTCTGAGAGTAATTTAGACAAGTTTTAACAGCACACAATGAGGCATACGTGTTGTGACAGTATGATACTTTAACAGTTTTCACATATGGCTGTAAAGACTGGACATTTAATGAACAAGACAAACCATTTCTGGCGTCCTCAGAGATGTGGTTTTACAAAAAATTCTTTTAGATTCCTTGGACAGCCAAAAGGTTCAACCTAGATGTTTTTGGAAGAGGCGATGGCTAAACGAAAAAAGCTTATAAAAATCAGAAAGGTGCAGTCGTCTTGTTTTTACCGTGTGATTGGAAGAAGAGCCTGAAATATATTGTGACTACTGGAGAATTTTGTGGGAAAGGAGACAGATGACGACACTTGGAGAAAATGTTGGCCAGCCTTCTGTCATGACAAGGATGGGTGTTGTGACACGAACTGATACATGCTGCTGAAGATGGCGGATTGTGGAGACGTGCTTGCCCACCTCAGCCTGCAAAGCTTTTAGAGATTATACGTGTATGGACAATCAAAACAGGATGGGATATATGGTCGAAATCCGGCCAGCGGCCTTTTAAGCCCTAGAACATTTCCCGGTATACAGAGGCGTAAATCGTGTTTTTAAAATCTGCCTCACTGGGGATCCAAACAAAAGACTACAATACGTGTAGGCCAGCGTGCTAGTCACAGAGCTACTGGTGCGGGAACCGTGTGGCTCAGGTCCTCCTAGCGCCCAGAAAACACAGACATATTGATGAATGCGCTGCCACGGATACATACTGCTCTCCTTTCCAACTTCCAACAGTCTTCAGCGCTGGGAATCATTAATTCTGAACGTCAAAGGTACGGTCAAGAATATAATCTTCTGTCTCTATAACAAAGAGATTGAAAATATCACAAGTTTTGAATATTTGAGCTTACTAGTGAACAACCAAGGCAACTGTAGAGAGGAGGTTGGAAAAAGATTTACTTTAGCAATGCACGGGCTAACCTGCATAAAGAACCTTGGCATCGCTATAATAAAGATGTTGAGATTATGCATCTTTCTCATAGCAGAGAACCTTGGTATCGCTAAAATAAAGATGTTGAGATTATGCATCTTTCCCATAGCAAAGAGCCTTGGTATCGCTACAATAAAAATGTTGAGATTATGCATCTTTCCTATAGCAAAGAGCCTTGGTATCGCTACAATAAAAATGTTGAGATTATGCATCTTTCCCATAGCAACTTAAGGGTTTTTCTCAACCTTTAAAAGGGAAAAAAATCGGAGCTTTCAAACTCAAAAGCTACAGAACAATTCTCAAAATATCGTGGATTAAAAAAAAAAATCCAGTCCTTAACGCGTTGGTAGCCTGGAGAGAGAGGTGAGGAAAGATGCGTTTCCGGAAAACGAGACAGTGGCTGACCTCCGCGAAAAGGAAAAAAAGACACCGAAGACACATCGGATATGAAATCACATAGGGCTGGCTAACTGGGCTAAAAAATGAGACGTGTCGTGAAGAGAGTGATGCTCTGTAACTGACCTGTTGATTGTTGAATGATGATGATGATCTTAATCAGTGTTTCTCCTAGATAATCTGGTAATCAGTTCAAACTGGAAACCAGAGCGATACAACTGGCAACTTGCGTGTTGAATCCGGTCTGAAGAAGCAAAGCAAGTGGATCATTGCAAGTTGTACTGCACTGATTTTTCCTTCGCTGGGGTTCTGACCTCTGGTCTGTGAACATCCCCAGTTTCAAAATGTTGGTATCTTAATGAATCTACTTCATTAACCCTGAATTTAAACTACGCTATACTGACATTTGTACATTTTTGACTATTTAGCTGCCAACAGTTACGCTTTGCCAGGAATGATTGGCCCAACTGTACAAAGTGGCAAGCCCCAGGCCCCCTGCTACAGTTTTCGTTCCCGCCCTAATGTTGCCAAATATATAAGGGTATGATTGTTGTCTGTAATTTAAAAATTGGTAATCATATTTTTACCATGCAAAAGTTGTCAAATGTTTGCCTATTTCTAATTTCTCAAATTTAATGATTTGACAACTAAATACACCACAGATGCAATCATTTACATTTAAGTTAAAATATACACACATGCAGAAGTGCAGACACATACTCGCGCAAGACTGGCCGGCAGCGCAATTAATTATTTGTGCTTAAAAAAAACTGTTCTAGTGTAAACTAATTGTTTAAAAACCATTACTAACTGATTTAACATGTGAGCAACTATCTGAGCTCGCAACAAATTCTTAGAACATATAACCAGTTGTTCGTAACCAGTTGATTCAACATTTAGCAAATTGTCTGAACATACAGCCAATAGTTTGCATGTGCATCTAATAGTCTGAACACACAATTTATAGTTTGAAGATACAACTGATGGTTAGATATACAACGAAAGATGTGGGCGTACAACTGACATTTGGAAAAGACTGCTGAAGGTTTGGGCATACAACTTAACATAGGGCACCGCAAGCTAAAGTTTTGGGCATACAACTTAACATTGGGCACCGCCAGCTAAAGGTTTGGGCATACAACTTAACATTGGGCACCGCCAGCTAAAGGTTTCGGCATACAACTTAACATTGGGCACCGCCAGCTAAAGGTTTCGGCATACAACTTAACATTGGGCACCGCCAGCTAAAGGTTTCGGCATACAACTTAACATTGGGCACCGCCAGCTAAGGTTTCGGCATACAACTTTACGGATATAACTTATGGTTTGAAGATACAGCTGATGGTTTAACATACAACGAAAGGTTTTGGGCATACAACTGATATCTGGTACAGCCAGCTAATGTTTTCGGCATGCAATTATTAGTCTGGACACACAGCAAATGTTTTGGATATAGACGTAACAATTTGGACAGACAACTAACAGTTTCGACAGACAACTAACAATTTGGACAGACAACTAACAATTTGGACAGACAACTAACAATTTGGACAGACAACTAACAATTTGGACAGACAACTAACAATTTGGACAGACAACTAACAATTTGGACAGACAACTAACAATTTGGACAGACAACTAACAATTTGGACAGACAACTAACAGTCAGACAACTAACAGTTTGGACAGACAACTAACAGTTTTAACAGACAACTAACAGTTTTAACAGACAACTAACAGTTTGGACAGACAACTAACAGTTTGGACAGACAACTAACAGTTTGGACAGACAACTAACAGTTTTGACAGGCAACTAACAGTTTTGACAGACAACTAACAGTTTTGACAGACAACTAACAATTTGGACAGACAACTAACAATTTGGACAGACAACTAACAATTTGGACAGACAACTAACAATTTGGACAGAAAACTAACAATTTGGATAGACAACTAACAGTTTGGATAGACAACTAACAATTTGGACAGACAACTAAAAATTTGGACAGACAACTAAAAATTTGGACAGACAACTAATAATTTGGACATACAACTAACGATTTGGACAGACAATCTGGACAGACAACTAATAATTCCGACAGACAACTAGCAATTTGCACAGACAACTAGCAATTTGGACAGACAACTAGCAATTTGGACAGACAACTAGCAATTTGGACAGACAACTAGCAATTTGGACAGACAACTAACAATCTGGACAGACAACTAATAATTCCGACAGACAACTAGCAATTTAGCAGACACCAAATGGTTTGGACATCCAGGCAAAATGTTTAAGTGTTAGTATAGTTACTACACGGCAGCCCCTGGGGTGGGTATTGTGCTGCCAGAAGTGGTTTTCTCTATTGCCGATACTCGGTAGAATCACTTAAAAAAAATACTAACAATGTGTGCTGTTTTCTTTTGCCACAGACTCCAGGACCAGGCACCTACAGTACAACTGACCCTAGTATATACAAACATCGGGCGCCGCTGTACAGTTTGACCAGCAGACACGTCATGTCCACGGGTAGTAGCCAAAAGCCGGGACCTGGAGCTCACATGCCTCAAACTGTAAGCCGTTTACATTTGTTTTATAGTCAAAATACATAGGCTCAGTGTATACTGTATGTGAATATACGGATGTGAGTCGTGGACTATCTCCCAGTCTCTAAGAAAGAGAATAGGCGCTTTTGAGCTGAAATGCTATAGAAAGATTCTCAAAATATCTTGGACAAAGAAGAGGAGAAATATTGACATCTTGAAAGATCTGAACATCAAGGAAGATTGGCTGATAAACAGCATCTTTTCTCGGAAGTCGAAATACTTTGATCATATCAAGCGCCACGACGGATTGGAAAAAAATTATAACAGAAGGTATGGTACCAGGAAGGAGAGGCAGGGCCGACCGACACGAAGATGGGCACAGGATATAAGTGACTCCTTGAGTATGGATGTACATAAGGCGGGAGAACTGGCGAGAGAACGAGTTTCTTTCAGGCAGACCGTGATGAGAGCGACGTTCTGCAAAGGGCCTGCTACATGATGATGATGATATACTGTATGCTTACATTGTCATCTCCGGGCTGGAGAGAATGATGGGTGTGACCAGGGTGTTCGACCGGCACACTACTCTCACAGGAAAAGCGAGACAGATATTGAACCAGGACTACGACTGGCACCATTAGTATTGGAACTGTGCGCTGGCTGCTGAGGATAGGGACCGAGCGCGTATGGCAATGCCCTGATTGCTGTGCTGTGATGTCAATTCTTGACTCAACTCAACTCAACACCATTGGCTCGATAGTGGCGTGATAGTGCTGTATCAATAACTTACCGTTTCCATACATCTTTTTTATGTATTTTTTTTTAAGGGAGACCGTGGCGGCGTGTGGTGGGGGCAGTTTCTCCGTGGCGAAGTGGTCAAAACTTTTACCTGGCGCTCTGAAGGTGGTGGGTTGGTTTCCCGGAATCGTCTTTCAGTTTGCGAGTGCAGTTTTTAGAGAGATCCTTAGGAATCGTCACTGGCGATATAATGTTAGTACTTTGTGCTACTCTATCGGCAGGCGGCTAGTCGTTCTGCCAAGAGACACCGAGCCCTCAGGGATAAACCTGGTGCATAAACCGTACCCATGGTTTTCGGACAGTGGTACGAGAGTCTCATCGTGGAAGAGATTGAAGACAACAGTGGTAGACTGCAGCCATCATTAACTGTGGAGGCGTGGCAGAACACAAGAAAAATAATGAAGTTGGTCCCCTTGACTGTAATCTATTTCAACCGACAATATTCTTGTCTGTGGCTCAGGCGTTGCCACTGTGCTTAGTAATTCCGAAGGGCCTGGTTTACTCCCATCTACGAGCGACCTGGCAGCAGACCGTTTAGCATTGGTTTCGACAGCGGTATCGACAGCCGATAGTTTAGAAGCAATGGCAAACTCATCATAATCAGGGGCTTTTCCGACTGGCATGGGCGATCATGCCTCTCTAGAATCTACGATCTGCAACTGCGTGTATTAGTTGACACCCCGCATGCCACGACAAAAGACTCAAAAATCTTCTCGCGCTGTCTTCCTCTGTCCCTCTTTCCGCAGATCTTTCCGGTGGTCACAGCATGTTTCAGGTTCCCTCGTCTCATAACATGGTTGAAAAAAATGATGACTGTCTCTTTCTGGTGTTTTTGATAAGTTGTCTTTAAGCCCTCACCTCTTTCAAAAGGTCCAGGTCGCTCTTCTTAGCTGTCCAAGGAATTCTAAGCATTATTGTGTATAACCACATCTCCAGTGTATCAAACTACTCAACGTAAACTAGTCAATGAAATCACAAACTGCCGAATAGTTCTGGAGTTACTTGTGCAGACACACACAGATGACAGACAACAAGTTAACTTTGTGATATATTCTTATATTTACTTTTCATGGGTGCTATATACGTTTATCTATTATAACAAAGGACATGCTAGAATCTAATCGCTAACGATGTTCACTGATTCTTTAGGCCAGCATCCAGCGATGTAGTCCAGCATACAGCTTTGGGATCCGACACAGCGACCACATGACGCCACTGATAGTGGACGTCCCTGATCTGGAGTGTTGTTGTCCTTGAGACGACTGAATGGCTGGTCCAGCATTGATGGATGACCACACGGAAAGACAGGCAAGTGTATACTCGTGTGCACATATGGCAGTTATCAGTGTTTACAGCCACCTAAAGGATGAGTGGCACATTACTCCCATTGAGGCTCTTCATAATAGCTGACCCCATAGATATCACTGCTCCCACCGCAACTCCATTCGATCTCCCTCAAAGTTGCAAGCCATCTGCCTGGGCGGCGAGCCACACACACAATCTGTTCTTTTGGTCTGGTAGACACGCAAGAAGTTTGCAGGTCGTGTGGGAACAGATACCACACATCGTATCAATTCATAACTAGTGGACTCTAGGTATATAAATCTGCTCACGAACAGATGCAGAGAAAGGATCGGCCTATTACAGTGGAGATGGTGTGTGTGCTGTGCAGACACCAGAGATTCTCAGAAAGATCAGAATGATGCAGACATCAAGGATGCTTATCATCATCATTCCGAGCCATTGAGGTTCATAGCTGCAGATATCACCCGCCTCCATTCATCTCTCTGATTGGCCTTCTCTTTCCATTTGGTGACAGGTCTGTCTTGAAATTATCTCTCCATCGTCTTCTTGGTCTGCCTCGTGGTCTGCGACCATTCATCTCCCTTATGAGGAGTTATCTGGCACACACAAATAATAAACATGATGAAAACAGCATAAAAGTTAAAGACTTTCAACATATTTTGAAGAAAAAGGGGAGTGCACTAGGACCTGATCGGGTTAGGTATGGCCACAGGACGGCATTGAGCGGTGAAAGCCTGAGGGAAGTGACCGACTGCTTTAACTAGAACGTTATAGGACAGCTCACGTGCGACAGGAATGCATGCACAGCATTCTAATTCCACTTCCAAAACCATGAAAGGATCATTCCAAGCGCTGGATGCAATTAAGGGTCTGCGGCTGATGAGAGGGAAGCTAGAGATGGCTCAGGCCGAGGACACGATCAGACAGGTTGGCATCCTGGAGAACTTTAGGCGAGGAGAGGAGCGGATCAGAATGCTAACAGAGCAGTCAGACTTGTAAAGAGTCATGATCTCACTGAATGCAGAGAGTGATCAGCTGGTGGCACGCAGGTGAGAATTCAGCACTTAATTTGAGATAATGCTTGCTATGACATTGCTATTGATATGATTGTTTATTCAGATGCTTCCGTGTCAAGACGCAAAAGAAATGCCTGGGGTGCTTAGCAAAATCTCATGGTCGAAATTTGGAGCAGGAGAGTCTAGAATATGATACCACAATATCTAGCTTAAGAATAGAAGTAGAGGCGGTCACTTCTGCTTTCCTCCAACTAAAAAGCACCACACACACACATCATAATTGTAACTGACGCAGAAGGCATGATGAGGAAGGCGCAGAGTGGCATGCTTCGCTTCAGAGGTCCAAAGAGAAGAGTTGTCTGGATATTTTGTGTGTGTTAGGAAATAAACAGGCCGACAGACTGGCTGGCTCTGCACAACTTGGTGGACAAGTGATCAGGCAGACATGGTTAAGTCTCTATGAGAGCCCCTGTACAATGCCAAAGAGCAAATGGGTCATCACAGTCTGGTTAGTGTGGTCTATTGAGGAGGCAAGAGAGGATCTGGCCAATGCTCGACACTCGCAGGACAAGCAAGTTGGATATATAATCAGACTGCTACTGGCGAATTGGTACTTGAACTCTGTGCTAGCTGCTGAAGATGGGGGAGGAGCGCTTATGGGAATGCTACCAGTTATGTGATGTCGGTTCTTGAATCAACTCAACCAAACTCAGCTAATGAATGTGTGGGGGAGAGAAAGCCATATCTGTTAAATAAATAAGTAATTAGTGGAAGGACTCATGACTCTAGTCATGAATGTGTGGGGGACAAACCGTAAGGTTATTTGCGTATCCTTTACAGGACGTTGCAAAACCAACTCCAACAGCCGCTGGCTGTTGTGTGGTTTTTCTAGGCAAATTTACGTCCAGTAGTTTGCCATTGCTTTTTGGACGGTCGGCTTTCTTGATACCACTGTCGAAACAAACGCAAGGCGCAGCTGGGATCGAACCCAGCATTCAGGCGTTACGAAGCGTTCGCATCGACTTAGCCACAGAGCCGACACATACCGTAAATCTTTTTAATTATACTGAGATATCACTATAGTAAAGTACGTGTGGGAGACACATATATCACTCTAGTCAACTACGTGTAGGAGACACATATATCACTCTAGTCAAGTACGTGTGGGAGACACATATATCTCTTTAGTCAAGTACGTGTGGGAGACACATATATCACTCTAGTCAACTACGTGTAGGAGACACATATATCACTCTAGTCAAGTACGTGTGGGAGACACATATATCACTCTTGTCAAGTACGTGTGGGAGACACATATATCTCTTTAGTCAAGTACGTGTGGGAGACACATATATCACTCTAGTCAAGTACGCGTGGGAGACACATATATCTCTTTAGTCAAGTACGTGTGGGAGACACATATATCACTCTAGTCAAGTACGTGTGGGAGACACATATATCTCTTTAGTCAAGTACGTGTGGGAGACACATATATCACTCTAGTCAAGTACGTGTGGGAGACACATATATCTCTTTAGTCAAGTACGTGTGGGAGACACATATATCCCTCTAGTCAAGTACGTGTGGGAGACACATACCCAACATCTTCGTAAATTAAAAATGAAAATGTGTTTAAAATAAAGCAGGTTAATCATGCCAGTCGTAAATATGGAGACAAGTACTTTTTTCTTTAATTCATTGTCTATAGAGGTACTAGATTGACGTTAGAATTAAATAGTCCTGCAACAGTTTAAATGTTCTTTGAGTTCCATTGATGTCTTGGTGCTGTGAAAGTTACTTGTCAATTAAAATTGTTATATCCCAATATGTTCCTGGCGCGGCGTTCGTGGCTTAGGCGTTGCGAGTCCGAATCGTAATCCAACGTATCGCGATCGAAACCCACTGGTGGCTGCGTGGATTTTTATCATGGAATGGGGCGTCGCAGGTCGACCGAGCCTAAAATGGGTACCAGGATTGCTGTCCTGGGAAAGTAAAGAGGCTGTCGTAATGCTGACCACATTACCCATCCAGTGTCGATTGGTCTGTAAAAATATGGGATGCTCTTCCCATATGCCTGACGCGCCTAAGGCGTGAAAAGGGATCTTTACTTTACTTTACTTTATATGTTTCTCTGTCTTTGTCTACAGTGCAACCCAAATAGATCTATGACTCAACATCTGAAGGTGGGGTTTCACTAAAGGATACTGGGTTCCGGTTGGGTTAACTTCTTTTGTTTGTTTCAGATTATGTTGCTACAGAACAGTTAGTGCTTCACTGACCAAACAGTTTCCCAGTCAGAGCCTCACGGGTTACACCAAGTGCCTGATACTTCTGGTTGTTGTCAAGGAGACATAACAACATGGCCGCTCTATATTGTTGTGAAGTTAATGTGTACTTAAACGTAGCTTTCTAGTCCCCATTGACACTAGCTAATTATTCAAAACAGCTGAAGGTCGTTCACAAGAATAAGTTAAGTAGTAACAAAATTTACAAACATCTAAAAGATATTCATAAAAAAGTGTAACATCAAACAATACGGATTATTGAAATACTACAATACTCATGGAATATTTCTGAATATGATAACATCACTGGACTGTTTATCGCCGGAAGCAGATAATCTTCAGACAACATATTCAAGATGGATACGATGTCAATTTAGGTAACTGAAATGGAATTGTGTAAAAGAGTGCACCCGCTTTATCCACAGAGAGATAAGATGGAGCAGAGACGAAATTATTTTTTTTAAATATAATTCTTAGACACCTGGTTGACATCAGAATGGTTTGAGAACGCTCAGAATGCAAATTAATGCAGTAAAACTGGGAAGACAAATGCTATAAAACGAATACAAGCGTTCGATCATTGTTCAAATATCATTAGTCATAAATACACAATATTGTATATGTATATTTAAAAGAAACGGTTAACAGGCAAATGTGAAAACCAAATAAACATACGACAATGTGAAAACTCTTTATACATGTTGCATAAACGGAACATAAAGAGATAATCAGAAATAAACATCAAGCACAATTGTGGCTTGAACAAACAAACATAGCTTTGTGTGTGCGTGTTTCTGCGTGTGTGTGTGTGTGTTTTACTTTTTAGTCTCCCCTCCCCCAGCACCCTCCCTCACCCCACCAAAATCCCAATTGAATTGCTGTCTGTAGGAATAGCATTTGATGGATGAAAATCGAATAGTAGCACATCACAGAAATCCCATTTAACCCTAGAACATTGTCATCCTGGAGCAGCTTACGGATACCAGGTAACCGGCAACCCAGTTTGGGTTGGTGGGTGTGGGTGGGTGTGCGTGGGTGGTGTGAATTGTTTTTTTTTTTTTTTGGCTGCTTATGTTACGATTTAATACTGTCTCCGTTGTACCCACGCCCGTGTGTCACCGGGGCCCTCACGGGAAGCAAAGAATAGTGACACTGCACCCTACCAGGCGTGTCGTAAGAGGCGACTAAGGGTAGGGTTGTTCTTGAGGTTGGCTACCTCATCATGTAAAAACCATAGCCACAAAAACCAACCAACCATGGTTAGGTCCACGAGAAGAAATTGCACAAAAACTATTTACTGTTGTCTGCATGTAACTCCTCATTCTCTCGCAGTAAAGTCTGGTAGTCTGGTCTGAAAGTCTGGTAGTCTTAGTTTCAGCTTCATAGCAAACGGGTAACTCCATCTTTGCTCCGCTCCTGTGCCAACGAAAAACACACAGAATGTTTATCACAGTCCCTTGTGGAAAGATTGACAGACTACTGCCTCAGCATATCTAGCATACACTCGCATTAACGCATATGGTAGCCATCCAAAGTGCTAACACAAACAGCCCAACATTAGAAATGCAGTTCATCGTTGTTTGTCGCCAAAAGATTGGCAGTTGCCCACGCGATCAATTTTAATCACATACAGGCACCGCCAACATTGCAC